ATCTTAGAAACCCTGAGGCTTACTCTTCTCTCATCTCTGTCTTCATGGAAACATCAAATGGTTCACTGAATAAAACAATATTCCTAGGCCAAAGAGCACATAATCCATATCATCTTATACCATCCACAGAAAGGGTCTTTAAGTCCTCTCAAAGCAGCTTTTGCTCTGGAGTCCTTTCACTTTTCCTGCAAAAATCAACCTACCATGTGGGAAATGCGAAATTATGGTCCATATTCAGATCTTAGGTGAAGTGGTTCATTTTCCACGGGTCGACAAGGCATATTTAGGTTCAAAGCCAGGCTCTAAAACAGTGACTTACTGTTCATGAGGAACTTTGCATGGTGGTAAGAGAATTAACACCACTCTGCAGATGGAGTGCAATTCTAGGGTTCTAGTCCTGCTACCATCAGGCTACATGACAGTAAGCAAATAACTAGATCTCATTACCCTTGGTTTACTCCTCTGGGAGGTAAGAATGACATTACCCACTCACAGGGCTGACATCAAGGCTAATTTGACACCAGAGAAGGGCCTGGCATGTGCCAAGCACAGGCAGGCAGTCAGCACTGAAGAAACACCACCTGTCTTCAGAACTTGGCCTGTCCTTCTGCTCAGGTTGAACAGAGGCTCCACAAAACAGGTGACAGTCATCTTGCTCACTGGATGGTCAGTTCCCTTAGGGCACAGGATATTTCTGATTTATCTCAGGAATGCAGTACATATCAGAGGGCTGGCCCAGGATGATGATGATGATGATGATGATGATGATAATAATAATAAATGCTTGCTCAATGGAGAAAATAAGAATTTCTGGGATCAAAGGATTTAACATTATCCTGACCACAATCAAAGAAAATTTTGATTTTTAGTTTGGCAAAATAGGCCCTTGTTAGAAGCTACCATGCAGTTCAAAGCAACCTATTCTGAATTCTAATAATATTATTCTGTAAAATATAAAAATCCAATTGCTCTACAGCTCTCAACTTTAGTTTTGAGAATCCAATTCTTTTCTAAACAATGGAGTGGGTAACCACAGAAACTTGTGGAATCTCTTTTCCTAGAAAACACAAAGAACAGGAGAGAAGCCAGTCTATCTGGAAATTGCTTCCAAATCTGCCTACAAGCAGGATGCTGTTATAGGACAGAATGCCCCTTGGAGGATCCCTCCAGACATACACCACTAAAATGGTAAGAAAAATAACTAAAATAATTCTGTCACTTATACCCAGGAAAATAAAATAAATTTAACATCTAACAGTCACTGGAAAAACAACTTCTTGGACTTAGTGATGCTTTTACAAATACATTTTCTTCTTAAACTGAACTAAACACTATCCAAATCTTGAATCTGAGTTGTTTTTAGTAAGACAGACTAGAGACCACACCTAGCAACATAATAAACAAGTCAATTAATTATTTCCCTTTTTCAATCCATTTGTTTTGGCATAGCCCAAATATATTCATCCCTAAAAGTGTGTTAAGTAACTCTACTTACTTCAAATATTACACTCACTTCTCCTATTTATGAATTTTTATAATAGCCATTGCCCACATCACATTATGCATGTGATTCTTACATGGTGTCTTCAATTTTATCTGACTCTCAAGTAATAAATTTTTGTCTCCCCAGATGAACTGTAAGCTCCTTGAGTAAGGTCCAAGTTTCCTACCATTCATATACAGGAAAGTGCAAAAGCTATCCTGTAACACTGTGTGCGGGGCACCTGTATGAAGTTTTGGCAAAGAAGTCACTCCAAAAGGTAAAAAAATAAAGCTTTTCAGAGGACTATACTTTGATGTTCACCACTGAGCTGGGACTAATTTAGTAAGATTAATCCAGGTTAAAAGGAAATACCTAGAATTAAAGACCACGGTTCAGACCCTGACCCGCAAGGAAGTGAGAAGCAATGAAGGTGAGCCCCTCACATGCACAGGGAAGCTGCTTTAGAAAGTGCAGCACATTCTCCAGACTGCAGAGCTGTGCAGGTTCTGATTTTACATCGGATAAATTATTCATTCTGTCAGGCCCAGTCAGTTAAGTGGCAAGAAATAGAGGAAAGAGTTTTAGAAATTAAAATGTAATAACATTCAAAACATGCAAGTAAAACTCACAGTCCAAAGAACACATCTAGAACAAGACCAAAGGGCTCAAAAGATCAATCATTACATGTGCATGACACACTTCCACAAAGGGAGGCAAGACTTATTTTAATATAAAAAATGGAAACTTCTTTTCCCTACTCCATGGCAAGTACTGTTCTAGGTGCTAACAATATAGCACTTCACCAAGCTTGCAATTCGAGCAAAACTATATAAAGCCAGAGCTTAGTATTGTAAAGGAAAGAGAACTCAGGGTTAAACCTCTTCTTTTCCAGAGAAGAAACTCAAGGAACAGAGGTTAATTAATGTGTCCCAGTTGATTATCATTCCTACAGGAAGAGAGGTAGAAATGAAAAAACAAATTTCTTATGCCTCCTCTATAACAAAAGCCTTGTTTAGTAAGCAAGTATTTTTTATGCCTCCTATGTACCAGACACTGTGAGCCACCAGGTATACAGGAACTGACAAGATACTAACCCTGAAGCTGTCCTCAAAAAGCACTGTCTAACAGCAAGACAATAGGATCAGTACAATAATAGAAGCAGTAACAGAAAGAAATAGCAGAATATATTTCTAATTTCTTAGGACTTCCAGTATTTTCAAAGAAAATAAACTTCTAAAAGTTTGTTTTATGTTTGCAATAATCCCATGAGGGCAGATCCTAGCTCTTCTTATTCCTGTTATGCAGAGGGAGAAACCGAAGTGCACAGAGAATAAGGGAGTCTATTAAGGTCATCGCCGGTGGCAACAAAATGCCTAGAAACCAAGTTTGTTTACTCCAAGATAGACATTTTTCTTTTTTTACAATTAGATGGAAAAGGCAGATGTTCTTTTTATGTCCAGTTCTTCTTTGACCAAGAACACAAGTTTGCAAGAATATGTGCAGGACAATCTGTAGTTGTGAAAGCAACCTTAACTGGTTTTGAAGTGTCATGAGGTTAGTTATTCAATGGTTAAGTAACCAACCTACAAGACACCATTACTAGCATTCTTAAAGTGTTCATTATACATATAAAGAATAGATGGAAAAGGTCCTGCCCTGCATACAAACATTTCAACAAAAAGTGACATAATTAAACAAACTACAACTGTACAAGGATAATCAAAAACAATTACAAATTTAAGACACTAACAATTGTACAGAGCAAACAGGGGCAAGGGATGCCATGAAACAAACTCCTTAGGGATTAAATGGAGAATGAAGACTATGTAGGTTCATAGCAGTCTTCAGATGAAGGGTCTTACCTAAAAATGTTCATCACATTTAAATAAATTATTAACTTTCTAATTCCTTCATTTAACTTTTCAACTTTACTCAAAACAATTACATAAATATTCCACTTCTCTCTTTCTAGGAAAGTTCTAATTTTGTAATTTTTCTTATCCAAAAGGAATAGGATTTATAATGGAGTTTCCCATCAATGTGGCTTTAGCAAAGAAACAAAACTAAAATTGTGTGATATCACTGCCGTATTCTCCCAACCTCTTTCAGTTGCAACCTAAATGCAATAAATCTGATAATTTTTCTTTTCTACATAGTAAAATTTACATACACATGCAAAAATCACTTCATTAAAAACTAAAGGGAAAAGCACTCCATTTTCAAGCTCAGTTTTAAACATCAACTTTACCTGCTTGATAACCTACTATGTTTTATATGTACCACTATTCATTGTGGCTTTATAAGACATAAATATTTTAAACCTCAGCACATTATAGATTAACAAAGTAGACAAAGCTAAAAAGAAAAAAATAGATTACCAATCTAAACTACTACAGAAGAATTACTTAAGAATAGGCTAAAAAGTAAAGATTATGATTATCCTTCCAAAAGAGTAATGGTTTCTTTTAAAATACAATTCAACTTTTTAAAAACTTTGTATTTTGTGAATATATTAAAAGGATTCACACTTTTAGCTAGTTACCTCCCTTCTTAATATTTGGTTAATTTTTAGGGTGATTAATTACAATTTAAATGACACTTCTCAACTACTACAGTAGGTTTCACGAGAATCACCACAAAATTATATCAAGATATTCTTTAATTTTTAAGACTTGGTTTCACTACAATAGAATATATTTTAACAAACAACAGCTTAAAACCTAAATTTGAAGAACGGTAAACTTTTCAGGTAGGAGAGGAACTAGGCCTGAATTTATGTCTAGATCCTCAAGAGGAGACTACTGGGCCAAATCCAATCCTAACGAGGTAAAGGAAGAAATTAAACATGCAGTGACAGTGACATCTAGTGTTAACAACTGCAAGAGAGCCACGCTACCATTAATTCCTCTCAAATGCTTAAGAACTATTCAAAGCTTCTCTTCTTGAAAAACTAACCTGTGTAGTATATAAAAAAAATCATTCATTATTAAATGGTTCCACAGATTTCCTTCCAAACATTAAGAAAAAAATAGTAAAGATCAAAAAGTAAAAAGCATTATTTATTTCGTATGATCAATATCTCAAACTGTTCCCATTCATCCATTATAAAGGTAGTCTAGGACATGTTCTGATGAGTTTCATAGGCATCTAAAACATCTACTTGTACAATTAAAGATACTGTACATAGTACTTGATAACACATCAAGAAAAATTTAGGACATTTAAGAAATGCTTCAAGATACAAAGAAAAAAAGAAAGAAATTTCAGTGATTGTACTATGAAACAAGTTTACACTTCAGCCCTTACTATATTTTTGCTGCTTTGAAAGGTTCATTTATTAAACAGTTGATATTTTTCCAGAAGGGCTTAGAATTTAGCAGCCTAGGTTAATTCACCATAGTATTTTTTACAGTTTTATACTGCAGGTGAATCTATAAAAGCAAGCAGAATTTTGACAATTATTTCTGGCCAGGATAATAGTGTGTAAAAAGCAAAGTTAACATTAGATGGAGCTTACCTGTTTGTTTTGGAATGTTCACCCTTTCCCTGTTTAACTCCAAATATTCTTGTGATCAAGGAACTAAAGAGAAGTGTAGATGAATTTCGCACCTAATGTAAAAATAAACACAATAAAGGATTAAGAATATTTATGTTCAATTCCCAATACCAAAACAAAATCAACACGCACACATACACATACACACACACACACACAAATATTCATGGCATTAAACAAATAACAAGACACACATGTATAAATACTGAATAGTTTCTCTAGTGTGAAAAACTAAAAGTGTAAATAAGGATCAAAATGTATAACTGATATTGTGTAGTAGGAAGAAAAGGTCTAAAAGAGTAGGGGAAGTGGGAGGGGTAGGGGAAAGGGAAAAAGGGAAAAGAAAAAATATGAGAAAAGGAAAAACATGGAAATAATGTCTTTGTAAGCAGGGAAGGGTGGGGGGGGTGAAGGAAGGCTGGGAATGGAGAAAAAATAAGAACCAAGATAAGTCATGTAAAGGTTAAAGATCCCAGTGATGAATGTAACTGTATTGTATACCTAAAATAAATAAAATAAATAAACTTAATTGCATACCTAAAATACACAAACTTAATTAAAAAATAATCAAACTAGATATTAAATTTGTTTCATCATATACCATTTGTTTTTAAAGAGAAAAAAAAAAAACTTTTTCCATATCCTTCCTGACAATGAATATTCTAGGAAAGACCTAAACTCTTTGCATTTTCTTTCTGTTATTATTTACGTATGAAAAAATAGTTGTAGGACTTAACCTTAAAGAAACCATGCAATTAATACAATCAAGAGGGGTAAATATTCAAAGTTTTATTTATTAACCTCACAATGCCAGTAACTTACTCAAGAAATCTTAACCTTGAAATTATTTGAAATAATAAAATTAAGAGGTAAGAATTTTAATTAATGAATTTGAATCATTTCAAGATACTAACAGAACACATCTTTTCCAAACCAATGTGCAGTGCCTAAGCATGCACTGCCTTCCCTATAGTATACAAGGTACTATTACCAGTACCATATCCATAAACAGAAAACAGCCACCACTGAGGTCATATTCTCATTAGGTAGATGCCATTATAATATGGTATGTTAAGTAGCAATATGAACAGAAAGGTCATTAAAAATAACAAAGCTGGATTTAGAAAATAGCTTCCTAAAACTAATGCAGTAAAGATTGCAATTTCAAATGTCCAAAAGGACCAGCAAGCAACAGAGGCAACAGTGAACTGTGTCTAATGCAATCATTATTCAGCTTCTGCTGACATGCTGCCACTAGGGAATATAAACCCAGAGTTGCCTGATCTGGTTTTTCAAGAGAAGCCAGAAAGCCTGATTTTTAAGTGAAATTTTGATATTTTGAAATGTTGGCAACAAATTAAAAGAAGAGGAAGGAAAACCCACCAAGGAGGCCAAATAAAACACAGCAATGGACAACATTTGTCCTACTGTCCATCAGTTAATAAATAACCTCTCTTCTAGAAGCCCCAAATTGCCTCAGTGTATCCCTTGGAACCCTGGAAGTGGACTTTACAGATGTACCAGATCAATTCATACCAAAACTGCAATGAAGCACTAAAGTCAGAAGATCTATTTGTGTTCATTCAACTGTTAGCAAACATTAATGGGATCCCTCCTTCTATCCCTAAACAACAAGTGATCCATCCTGTTATCTCATCAATACTGCTTCTGCCCCAGCTCAGGTCTCAGTCACCTCTTACCCATTCTACTCAAATAGTTCTCAGGATCCTAGATCTGATATGACTTGGCAAAGACCCTGTTTCCTCTCAGAAATCACAACAAAACATAAAAGGAGGGGCAGAGGATATGGCTGAGTAGTAGAGCATTCAAGTAGCATGCAAAGGTTCTGAGTTGGATCTCCCACATGGTGAAACAACAGAAATAAAGGAAGAAGGGAGGGATAAGAGATGAAAACAGAAAAGAAGAGAACAAAGTAATGAAGTCACGAACTCCCTCTTGCCCTAAACCAATCTTTGTGACAAAGGTAGCAAAATTAAACCAGCAGTACCTGGAGATGCTAAGAAAAAGCATACTTCAAACAAAACTGTAGGGACCTATTTTACAAAGTGAACAGGCACTTCCAGGAAAAAAAAAGTTTGTTTGAGTCAGTAGGCACATAACATTTCTTGGTACTATTAAGATACACAATGCAGGGCCAGAGATTTTGCTCAATGGTTCCACTGCCTGCCTTGTAAGCGCAAGGTCCCAAGTTCAATTGCCAGTACCCAAAAAAAAAAAAAAGACACACAATGGATCCCAGTGCTATCAGATTGATTCATCCTGCTATGGTCTGAATGCCATTGTTCCCCTGACTCCCAAATTTAAATGTTAAAATCCTAACAACCAACATGATGGTAGTATGAAGTAGGGAAGATTTAAGATTTAGTTAGATAATGCAAGCTCTACCCTCATAAATGCGATATTAGTTCCCCTATAAAAAAATGCCCCTTTGGGCTGGGGATTTAGCTCAGCAGTTCAGTGGCCTGCCTTGCGAAGTGCAAGGACCAGAGTTCAATTCCTGGTACAAAAAAAAAAATGCCCCTTTGCCTCTTCTACTATGTGAAGATGAGTAAAAAGAGTTGCTCTGTGAATCAAAATACAAAGCTGCAGTAGACAATGAATCTGCCAGGATCTTAATATTAGATTTTCCAGGCTCCAAAACTGTGAGGAATGAATTTCTGTTGCTTGTAAGTCAGCGTTTGTGGTATTTTGTTAAAGCAACCAGAACAGACTCAGATACCCATTAACGGTTCCCTTAATAGTAGCCAATGATGATCATTACCTATCTCTGTAGGTGTAGCAAGATGGTGATATTCTATCAGGCATTCTGCATCACTTACTTATATTCCCAGGAAAAAAATACCTTTTTAAAAAAACGCTTCCTTGGTCAGCTATTTGATTACCTACCTATTAGGCAGTACAGAATTATTTCCAAGTACTTAACAATTTTCAGGTTGTGGCATAGAGTGTCATTTTAAAGATCACTTTTCATTTTATTGAGATAAATTTACATAGCGTAGAACTGAGCGTTTTTATAAAGTATCTTAATCAGCTGTTTTTACTATATTCCCAAAGTGAGAAATTATCACCACTAAATACTTCAACAATGTTTTCATTATACCAAAATGAAACCCTATATGCATTACTCATTGTTCCCCATCCTCCAACAATACAAAAGCACTAATCTACTTTTTGCGTCTATAAATTTGCCTATTTCAGGCATTACCTATGCATGGGACAATGTAATAGGAGGCCTTTTATGCCAGGCTTCTTTCACTTAACACAATGTCCTCAGCTTCACCCATGCTGGATGATATGCCATTGCACATATACACCACAGTTTAAAATCTACTCAGCATTTGATGGACAATGGGCTTGATTCCTCTTGACTGTCATAAATAATGATGCCCAGAAAATTTATGTGCAAGCTTTTGTGTAGCATTGTTTTTCCTTTTTTTGGTACCAGGTATTAAACTCAGGACCTTGTACTGGCAAGGCAAGAGTGGCGCCACTGAGCTAAATCCCCAGCCCCATGTAGACAAATTTTTATTTCTCGTGGGTTATGCTTAGAAGTGGCAGGCACAGTCATAAAGTAACTCTGCTTAACCTTTAGAGGAATGCCAAAGTGGTAGTATCATTTTATATTCTCACCAGCAATATATGAGGGCTCCAATTTTACCAATTCCCTTATTTCTCCACATCTTCCCTAATACTTATCAATGCCCATCATTTTTACTTTATTAAGTATTGTACTTAATTATGGTGCTGATTTGCATTTTTCTAATGACTAATGATCATAAGCATCCTCTAATGTGGCATTTGTATATTTTCTTTAGAAAAATGTATTCAAATTCATTGCCCTTTTTTAATGAATTATCTTTTTGTTGTTGAAATATAAGAGTTCTTTATATGTGCTGGATGCTAGACTCTTCTTAGAAATATGATTTGGAAATATTTTCTCCCATTCTAGGAGCTGTCTTTCCATTTTTTGATGGTGTCCTTTGAAACATTTTTATTTTGAACAAGTATAATTTACCTAATTTCTTCTTTTTTTACCTAATTTCTTCTGTTGACTGTACTTTAGGTATCATATCTAAGAAACTACTATTTCAAGTTACAAAATTTTCCACTTTAATTTTTCTTCCAAAAGTTTTATAATTTTTCCATTTAGGTTTTTGATCCAGTTTTAATTATTTGAACAGGTATGAGAGAAAGACTAATTTCACTCTTTTGCATGGGGATGTCTAGTTGTCCTAGTTGTATATGTTGAAAAAATTATTCTTACTCTATTAAAGTCTTTCTTGTTTCTTATATGTGGAAGTTGGACAATCAATCCTATTCTACTGACTTATGCATCTATTCTTTTCTTTTTTTTGGTACCAGGGATGGAGCTTGGGAACTCACTCTTGCAAGGCAGGCAGTGGAACCACTGAACTAAATCCCTGGCACTATCTATTCTTAATTTAATACCACAATCTCTTATTATTGTTTTTTTATAATTTTCAAACTTAGGACCTGTGAATCCTCCAACTTTGTTTTTCTTTTTCAAGATTGTTTTGTCTATTACAGGTCCCTTGCATTTTCTTATGTATTTTACAACCAGCATGTCAATTTCTGCCCAAAAAAAGCCAGATGAGATTTTAAGAGAGATTGTATCAAATTTATAGATCAATATGGGGAATATTGCCATCTTAATAATTTAAGTCTTGGGCTGGGGCTTTAGCTTGACTTGCAAGCAGTAAGGTCCTGAGTTCAACCCCGGTACCAAAAAAAAAAAAAAAAAAAAAAAAAAACC